CTCTGTCTAGAACTCTGCGCCCCCCCCACCCCCTGCTGCCGATTTGCTCATAATTGAGTGTCCATTTAAGTCTCAGCTCAAATGTCACCACCTCTGAGAGGTTGCCCATAGTCAGGCATCTAGACTTGCTCCCTCTCCCCAGAAACCACCTGGCACGCAGTAGGAATGCAGATCTTAGTTGAGGGGATAAATGTGCACTCACAAAACCACCACCTGATCTATTAGGGAAGGGATGTTATTTGACTCACCTTGGAACCCAGGCAGCTGCTCCTGCAAAGAAACCATTCATACTGGCTTCACCAAACAAGAAAAGTCTGTGGGAGGTCTGGCCGGCCTGGGGCTGTCCTGCCAGTCATTTCTTCCGGCTGAATGGCTGCCTTTCAGATGTAGATACTGCATGGAGGCATTCTAACCTAAAGCCTTTTCATTCTTGGCTTCTAAAACAAAGAAGAGGTAGAGAAAATCCGTGAGTGAGAGTCTCTGTCAGAATAACACCTAGGCCCTAGTTAATTAGGATGAATAATTGAACACTCTCAAGTCAGACAATGGAAACATTAAGAGTTTCCACCAAAACATAAACTTGGCCAAGTGGGCGGGGTGTCCAGAAGTCTCCAGAACATTGGGGGTCGGAGGGACTTCTTATAAAGCCTAGGGGTAGAGGAAAGATGGGTGAAAGAGACCTAGATCCCTACCCAAGCCCCCCAACATTTGCTAGGTTGCCTGGGCTGAGTAACTCTAACTTGTTTCCTTATAGAAAAATAAAACATGTTTCTATAGAGGAGTTAAAACAAAAATTAAAACCTACCATCTAGAAAGACAATATTGTTATAGTGCCTCCTTGTAGTCTTTTTTTCTAAGCATACTTTATAAAGTTAAACTGTGATTATATTATGTACTGTCTTATAAACCTTTTTTCACTTAATAATATATTGTGAACATTTTCCCATGCCATTAGACACTACTTAATGCCATAATTTTTTAAGACTGTGTGGTATTCCATAGCATGGCTGTATCATCCAACCAATGCCCTGTCAGACATTTAGGTGGTTCCCAATTTTTATAAGCAGCTTATCATTTACTATTTCTTTTCAAAATATATTTTTATTGATTTAGAGAGAGAGGAAGGGAGAGGGAGAGATAGAAACATCAATGATGAGAGGTAATCATTGATTGGCTGCCTCCTGCACTTCCCCTACTGGGGATGGAGTCTGCAACTCTGACCAGGAATCGAACTGGTGACCTCTCAGTACACGGGACAACACTCAACAAACTGAGCTACACTGGCCAGGGCACCCTAAATAAATCCTATATAATAAAAGGCTAATATGCAAATCGACCAGACTAGTCGCTATGATGCACACTGACCACCAGGGGGCAAATGCTCAATGCAGGAGCTGCCCCCTGGTGATCAGTGTGCTTCCACAGCGGGAGCATCGCTCAACCAGAAGCCAGGCTCATGACTGGCAAACACAGTGGTGGTGGTGGGAGCCTCTCCTGCCTCTGTGGCAGCACTAAGGATGTACGACTGACGACTTAGGCCCACTCCCTGGGGGTTGGGGGGGGGGACGGGCCTAAGCCATCAGTCGGACACCCCCCCAAGGGCTCCCGGACTGCGAGAGGGTGCAGTCTGGGCTGAGGGACACCCCCCTGAGTGCACAAATTTTGTGCATCGGGCCTCTAGTTTAATAATATAAAAAATAAAGGAAGATCTTGATCTTTCTTGTTCTCTCTCATTAAATATTTATTTAGGTTTTCCACATGTGCATTTGTATTTCATGTGTGCCTTTTATGGCTGGCTACCCAGTAGCCCTTGCTAATCCCCTTCTCCATTTTCTGCTTCCTATTAAGGACAATGAAAAAGCCAACTTTCACTTTCCCAGACTCCCTAGCAGCTAAGGGTGGCCTGTTGAGAACCAAAGAAACATTTGTTATTGGGATGTGGGAGCCTTTTTTCCCTTTCTCTCTCTTCTCCTCCCCCCCGCCCCCCTCCCTCCCTACACACACACCAAAAAAACTCTTATCACCTTGGCCCTGTCCTTGTGGATGCATGATTCCAGGAGCTGTGGCAGCCGTCTTAGAATCATGAGGCAAAAGCCTAAGGATTTAAAAAGAAACCTCTGTCATATAAGCATAACCAATGGACGCAGACACCAGGGGGGTGAAGACATGAATGAGAGTGCGGGGGGTGGGGTGGGGCAATAGAGGGATAAGGACACATATGTAATACCTTAATCAATAAAGAAAAAAAAAAGAAAGATAGAAGGAAAAAAAAAAATAAATAAAGAATAAAAAGAAACCTCTGGTATTGGTTAGTCCTCAATTACATCCGGGGATCAGGGGGCTGCTGTACCTATACTGGAGCTGCTCTGGAATCTAACTCCCAAAATAATAACTTTATGGTTTACGTTAGTGGTTTTCAAAGTTAGTGGTTAACAAATTAGAATCACCTAGGAATTTTGTTAAACTAAGATAGACTCCACAGGTGTGAGATTCTGTATTGTTAGCAAGATCCCAGTCGATCTTGCCGCCGCTGGTTCAGGGACCACACTCTGAGTAGCAAGCACCGCTGTTACACTAGCTCGACGAGTCCTAACTGATACATCCTTTTCGTGGATGCGAAGGTCACCCTCCTTATTTCACAGGTGCAAGTATAGGGAGCCCTCTGGGAGCAATAAGACAGCCGGAAGGGCCCCTCCCGGCCAGGGGTCCATTAGCCACTGTGGCACCAGCCCCCAGCTGGTGGGTTCCTAAATTACTGCATCATCCAGGGATAAGCCAAATCCTGTTAATGAGGCTGTGGAGTATTTGTGGAGGTGCTGCCCTGTGCTCGCTACCCCAGCCAGGCCACTTTGTCCAACCAGACCCACAGGGGCAGATTCCTCCTGAAGCAAAAGGGACTCTAACTAGCGCTCATCCTTTTTGGGGGACCTGCCTCCACCAGCCGTCTCCTCAGCTACACTCCAGGTAACAAGGGGAGGGGCACTTCAGGTAGCATCTTTCTGTTTGGTTACTAAGAGTCAGGTCTCCAAAGACAGTGGTGGTGAAACTTCAGGCCAGAGAGAAAGGATACCGGCAGGAGCCTCCTACGGACTCATCCACGTATTTATCCTTACTTTTCTCTTTCCTTCCAACCTCAGGAAGACTGCGGCTTCCCCACTGACACACAGCGCCTGCCTCTCTGCTCTGTGCTCTGAAACCCTCAGCAAGGTCACAGTGGCCGCAGGGTTCTCCTCCTTCTCCCTGCAGGTCCCACCA